AATAGGATTTTTTGCAGCAACAGTAATTAGCTAGGGGGGGGGGGGGGTATGGTTTGTAGTGGGAAGGGGGGTGCAGTCGGAGTGCAGCTTTAGCATATATGGATACCAATATATCAATATATACAACGAATGGATCACATTCACATGTAAAGGAAAAGTAAATAAATGTTCTATGTTGCTAAACACTTAGAAAAGAAAAAAAAGTGAAATTGTTATCTGTAGCTGTATCGCTTCTATTGCCTGATAAGGCCTCTCCTGATAATTGCCCCATCCTTGGTATGGCCATGATCGAGTTCTCTGGAAGGTCATCAGTGCGAATGGGAAACCTTCCCCAATTTTATCTAATCTACCGGCTGCCTTATCTTATCACCCCTGATAGTACCTGGTGTTCTCAAATACATTGCACTTTTCTATAACTTGTATACGGTATCATTCCAGGGCCGCTGTTCCCTGTAGGAGGGTAGGAAGGTAGGGGCGAACCCCGGTCATGTCTAGGTCAATGGTCCTGATGCCGTTATGCTGGGGCAATAAACTGACACTGAGCTAGAATCTTATGTATCCTGTCAGTTGTTGATATGTATCTGGGATGCAGAACACTTACAGTATATAGACAAAGTAGGCCAACGTATAGAAGCGTAGCTGGCAATGTTCCTGTATGGAAACGTGGCTCTCACTTTGCCTCTTGGACCCGAGTTGTCCAAAAAGCCCAGGAAGGTGGTCTTTGTTGCCCTTAATGTAGATACAAGGAAGATTATTTGCTCTGTTTTTGCCTTCCCCCAATCAGTCCTTCCCTTGGGACCCCTTCTCCTTCCACATTTTGTTTTATAATCATTCCCAGTATACGTACCTTTTTCCGCCCATCTTTAGTCTGGTCATGTGATGTCACAGGTCCTCTTCCTTCCCTTACATTACATGGTTGTGCCATCCTCCCCCATTCCTCTACGGCAACAGGGCTCACATTTTGCCTCTTGGACCCGAGTTGTCCAAAAAGCCCAGGAAAGTGATCTTTGTTGCCCTTAATGAAGATACGAGGAAGAAGATTATTTGCTATCTTTTTGCCTTCCCCTTAATACGTCCTCTGTCAACCTTCTTCCAAGGAGACCCACCACCCTCCTTCCACATTTGTTTTCTTATCATTCTCAGTATACATACCTTTTTCCACCCATGGTCAAGTGATGCCACAGGCCCTCTTCCTTCCCTTCTGTTCTTGATGATAATTGGCTTAAAACTAAAATGCTCACATCTACTGCTACATCCTCATGTTGATCGACACGATCCCAACCACCCGGCAGCCCCCTCTACAGACATATCTGCGGCCAAGCGCTTTAGGACCTTGCTGACCCAATACCACCTAGTTGACTCCTGGAGAGAAATACACCCCCTTAAAGAACAATATACGTTTTACTCCAACCCCCACAATGTCTTTTCACGCATTGACCACATTCTGTTACGCCCAGACGCCCTTACACAGGTATCCTCAGCAGAAATCACTCCAATCCCCTGGTCAGATCACGATTCAGTTAGTATTATTCTCGCCTTAACTATCCCCCGACCACACAGCTTCACTTGGTCTCTGCGAGACTCTTTACTCACAAATCCTGATATTCTGGCTGCGACCCAGGCCTCTCTGACCGAATACTTCCAGTTAAATACTGACGGGGTCACTTCACCGACAACAGTGTGGGAGGCTCACAAACCCACTATTAGAGGTCGGCTGATTCAGCTTGCATCCCAAGCCAAAAAGAAACGGACATCTCGCATTGACCAATTGGAATCTGAACTACTAGTGGCATCCCAAAATTTTCAACAGAAACCCACTCCCGAACACAGATCTCGTTTGTTCCATATAAGAACAGAACTTAATCTTTGCCTAACACATCTCTCAAACGATAAATTAGCCTGGACCAAACATAGGTTCTATATTAAAGGAGACAAACCAGACACAATGCTTGCCCATAGACTGAGGTAAGCTAATCCCAGAAAAAACCCTATCCAACTTCGCCTGGGGGGGACCCCTGTCACTTCCCACCCCGTCAAAATTTTAAAGGCTTTTCAATCCCATTTACAACATCTTTACCGTGCCACCGGCACCCTAGATAAATCTAAATTAGACACATTTTTTGCCACTTTAAACCTTCCCGCCCTCTCCGAGGAACACGAAAAGCTGATTGACTCCCCCATTACAATAGCTGAAATTAAGGCCACAATTAAACATCTTAGCACTGGTAAACGCCCTGGGCCTGATGGCCTTGGCACGTCCTGCTACAAAAAGTTCGCTGATACCCTAGCAACACCTATGGCGGACTGTTTTAATGCTTTGCGCACGAGGAGTGAACTACGAACAGAATCCCTCCTATCCTCCATATGTATGATACCCAAACCGGACACTGATCACACGTCCTGCACCAACTATCGCCCAATCTCACTAATCAATGCAGACTTGAAAATACTT